AATAATGTTTGTAGCCAAACATTTTCATTTTCATTTCTTGAAATTAATGTTCGATAGCAGAAATAGGTCATCGATAATGAATAATCATGGGCATTGTCACGGCTCTCAGTTTCGTAATGTCACATCCACCAAAATATAAAGGGCCAATAAATTACATTTATATATATATACGCGTACATATAAACGCATAGTAGTGATATATATATATATATATATATATATATATATATATATATATATATATATATATATATATATATATATAAAAAATAGTTTTACTGTATTTTATATTTATGGGTAAAAGTGCTCAATATCTAGGATAGAGTGTATGTAAATATAACATATAAAATATAAAAATGGGGACTGTGGTCAACACCTAACGGCGACAGTCTGTTTCATGCTTGAACGCAATATTTGAAACAATGAAGCGTGAAACAGACTAGGTGTTGACCTCAGTGTTTAGTCTTATATATATATATATATATATATATATATATATATATATGCATGCCTACACATTTTAGTTAACCTGATGAATATTTTTAAGCGTCTTTAAATTTAAAAATTCCCTTTCAAAGATGCTATATCATATACGGTAGATTTTAATACCTAACATTTTCAGCTAACCTGATGACTATTTAAGTGCAAATTGAAAAAATTGTAGTAACTGTTAAACATATACTTTTTGAAAAATAAAAAACTCACATTTGCCTTGAGTATAGATTTTCTCTTGACTTTTCATTCATTTTGTTTCTTCTACAGATACACTCTATGTAAGAATATTTACATATATATATTTGTGTGTGTGCGTGTGTGTCTTTGTGCTTCAAATTCAACAGCCAAAATCTGTCTAATTCTTATTGTATTTTTACAATTTTTAGAAATACGCTTTTACACATTAAACTTTTCAAAAACTTTGTCTTGTTTTACTTTTGTCCAAGTACTTTCAACGGTCTTCGTCATTAACAAAAGTAATTATTGCTGTCAATATCGTAGACAAGATTATATC